ACGCGATCTTCGAGCCGGTTAGTTAAGTGTTCTACTAATTCCTCTATTCAGCTTGATAAATTATTCGACATTAGATTCTCATAGAAACACTGTAATTTCTCACGCGGTTATGGCTTCAAAAACCGTGACAAGGTCTTCACTATTCTGTTGCAATCCGCAACTGTGTCAGAAGGAGTAAATAGAGTAATAGAGAACAATGCATCAGATACATTGTCCTTGCCGGCCCTCAAAGGACATTTTTATTAACGAAGATCTCGGAAATCTCAGTCGAAAAGATCTCGTTCGCCGAATCGTCATCACAGACATGAAATGCATCAACGACCAAGGTAAAGCTAATTCGTTATTTGTAAATCTGATACCCTGAGGTGCATGTAAAAGTCACGCGGGCGAGTACATTACCACATTGTCACTAAGTGTCAGCAAGTATATCACTGAGTACTATCGCAGATATCAAGCAAGCGAATAAGCGAAAATATCGTGGGTAGTGGGGAAATGAAACGCTAAATGCACATCCTCGACCTTTAGATCAGTGTTTAGATACTGTTCATCCTAGTAACCAAAGTATTTTAAGGTGACTCGACCCAGTTTTTTTGGGGGGGTACCATCCTACTTTGAAGCTCTCTGGTATCCCCACCTTTACTTTTATCGTAAGTCTAACACATAGAATGGATAACATATAACTTAACGTCGATCTTTGATATATTTTGTGTGATGTGTAGTCACTGTAGTTCACGCTTATTCCATTTTTTCAAATAAAAATCTGGCGAATCGACTTACATCCGGGCGAAACGACCTGCTACCTTTAGTTAGAGGTTTTTTAAAATAACTGTATAACAAAATGGCAACGTTGTTGCAGCCCCATCGTTTGTTGGGGACGCGAATTTTATGTCATCAATTTAGAAAACGTTCATATGCCCTATTCACTTTAACATACACATACAAAATATATGTTTCAAACAAATTTTCTTACTTGAAAATAATGTGAACTGCGGGCTTACAGTATACTGCAGCGCTGACGCAGAGACCATGGGTTCGAATCCCGTGGAAGTCTCGAAATGTTTTCGGTTTTATTTGCAATTGCTTGAATAGCAATTACCACAGTGACGATCATATCTTCAATTTAAATTTTCTTACTCTTTCTTAATGCATATAGGATTTGATTTCATGAGGAAATTTCCCTCAGCACACTGCAACACATCATAGCCAGTTTTAGAACCCGTTTCGTGCAGGTCTGTACTTTTTAAGGGAGGTACTTATTGCAGCAAAAAGTTGTAACCTTATTTATCGGAGTTAGAAATTGTAAAATCTTTAAAAAAATCATTGAGCTATGGTGATTTACTCGACGGTCTTTTGGTGTCTTTTTCTACACAGAAGGAGATGCTGATGTCGAGTGGCAAGAGGCCTGGATTGAAAAGAAGAAAGGTTGGTATCGTAAGTGTAGTTGTACAATGGACTTTGTAAGCATTTGTATCCTTTCCTCCGACTTAAAGTTTAAAATGACAAGGAATTTATTTGTCAGAGAATTCTAATTTTAACGCCACAGACTAGAGTTTGCAACATCTTTAAATACATAAAGCCTTTGTCATTCACCACTTTCACATTGCCCATAATACACCTTTCTTACCCCACCCCCACCCCCCCCCCTCCGCAAAAAAAGTTTGCATACGACTTATTGTTTTCAATCTCTCCTCAGTATTAGTCGTCCCAAGGGAAGATAAAGGCAATGCTTTTTTGGGGGGTAGGGGTAAACAAGGTGTATTATAGGCAATGTGATATAATGGTGAATTCTGAAGCTCAGCGCGGAGGGCAGTTGCTTACAACGACTGTCGTTCTGTCAAACTCTTTCTTTTAACACCAGACATTTTCAATTACGTCCCTGATGAAGGATAAGGGTGAAAAGGGCGAGTTTTTCGCCCCCTTCCAAACAGAAGGCCTTTTTACAGATCAATTCTGAAGTTGCTTTAAATGGGAAAGCTTTATTCGTGGCACGCACTGCTCAGTTTATATTTATTTGACTGTTTGATTCTTAGACCAACTCAAAGAAGCTGATAATGGCGTTATAGGACCTGTACCACTGGTACAAGATGCAGCAAATCAGGATATCAGAGAGTAAGGGCAATTTAAATTTAAAACTAACGCGATTTAGACTTAACGTCGATCTTTGATATATTTTGTGTGATGTGTAGTCACTGTAGTTCACGCTTATTCCATTTTTTCAAATAAAAATCTGGCGAATCGACTTACATCCGGGCGAAACGACCTGCTACCTTTAGTTAGACGTTTTTTAAAATAACTGTATAACAAAATGGCAACGTTGTTGCAGCCCCATCGTTTGTTGGGGACGCGAATTTTATGTCATGAATTTAGATAACGTTCATATGCCCTATTCACTTTAACATACACATACAAAATATATGTTTCAAACAAATTTTCTTACTTGAAAATGATGTGAACTGCGGGCTTACAATATACTGCAGCGCTGACGCAGAGACCATGGGTTCGAATCCCGTGGAAGTCTCGAAATTTTTTCGGTTTTATTTGCAATTGCTTGAATAGCAATTACCACAGTGACGATCATATCTTCAATTTAAATTTTCTTACTCTTTCTTAATGCATATAGGATTTGATTTCATAAGGAAATTTCCCTCAGCACCCTGCAACACATCATAGCCAGTTTTAGACCCCGTTTCGTGCAGGTCTGTACTTATTAAGGGAGGTACTTATTGCAGCAAAAAGTTGTAACCTAATTTATCGGAGTCAGAAATTGTAAAATCTTTAAAAAAATCATTGAGCTATGGTGATTTACTCGACGGTCTTTTGGTGTCTTTTTCTACACAGAAGGAGATGCTGATGTTGAGTGGCAAGAGGCCTGGATTGAAAAGAAGAAAGGTCGGTATCGTAAGTGTAGTTGTACAATGGACTTTGTAAGCATTTGTATTCTTTCCTCCGACTTAAAATTTAAAATGACAAGGAATTTATTTGTCAGAGAATTCTAATTTTAACGCCACAGAGTAAAGTTTGCAACATCTTTAAATACATAAAGCCTTTGTCATTCACCACTTTCACATTGCCCATAATACACCTTTCTTACCCCACCCCTACCCCCCCCTCCGCAAAAAAAGTTTGCATACGACTTATTGTTTTCAATCTCTCCTCAGTATTAGTCGTTCCAAGGGAAGATAAAGGCAATGCTTTTTTTTTTTTTTTTTTTGGGGGGGGGGGGGGGGGGTAAACAAGGTGTATTATAGGCAATGTGATATAATGGTGAATTCTGAAGCTCAGCGCGGAGGGCAGTTGCTTACGACGACTGTCGTTCAGTCAAACTCTTTCTTTTAACACCAGACATTTTCAATTACGTCTAACGTTAGCTTTTGTACATCTGGTCCCTGATGAAGGATAAGGGTGAAAAGGGCGAGTTTTTCGCCCCCTTCCAAACTGAAGGCCTTTTCACAGATCAATTCTGAAGTTGCTTTAAATGGGAAAGCTTTATTCGTGGCACGCACTGCTCAGTTTATATTTATTTGTCTGTTTGATTCTTAGACCAACTCAAAGAAGCTGATAATGGCGTTATAGGACCTGTACCACTGGTACAAGATGCAGCAAATCAGGATATCAGAGAGTAAGGGCAATTTAAATTTAAAACTAACGCGATTTAGAGAGAGTGACTCTCGGCCGTTTAGATCATCATGCGTTTCTGAGGAACTACCCATCTACCCCTCCCTTAAGCCAACTTGTTGCCCTAAGTGAGAAGTAAGTGTTAATGTTGGCTTTGGAGAGGGGTAGGTGGGCAGTTTCCCAGAAATGTATAATGACCCTTATCGGATCATCATACGTATATCTTCGCTCACTTTTAACGTATCGCCTTTAAATTTGGTAAACTTGGGGAGTTTCCTAATTTTAAGGTGCTATTTCCAGCAGTGTCAATGGATATTCGCCAACTAGTCTTAAACAAAACTCGAAAATAACCTTAGGGGTAAAGGTGGATCAGAATGTGCGTCACAAAGTCGCGTAATTTCAAAGACGTTTTTATGGTGGGGTGGGGGGGCACGAACTTGCCCTCCGCCCCCCTCCCCCCTCCCCCCTCCCCCACCATACAACGTCTGTAGAATTCGCCGACTTTGTGGAGCTGTATTTTCGTCAGTTTTCAACGACAAATCACGTTCAAATTTGGCAACGGTACTAATTTTGAGGCGTTCTGTTTAGCCGTGCTGGTGGATTTTCGCTAACTAGTCCCAGTAAAAAAATCCGTGGAAGAGTCTATTCGAGACACTTTCCAGATCAAATTAGAATTTGGACGTATTAGTTTTGTGGGGAAACCGTCTGAGGGGAGAACAAACAACAAACTCAACTTTCACATGACGTCGACGTTGGGACTCGGTTGGAAGGGAAATGCTTTCAGGATTGCACCATCCCTGTCCCCTTCCCCCTCACCCCCCCTTAGGGCGGGGGAATAGTTTGTTACCCCTAGGCTATACTATGCGTGTTTCAGTGCGATCAATTGTTTTAGGGCCACAATAAGCAAAAATAATGAGGAAGACTACAGGAAGCAAACAGCGGATTCAAACCAACTGCTTCTGAATCTCGTAGAAGACGACTGACTTTAACGATTTTGGTCTGAATCCATTTTTTTCTTCCTGCAATCTCACATCGTTTCGAAGTGGATGTGGAAGAAATGTGTCTTAACACGAACCCAGCTACTTTGTGCTTTGTAACAAGCGGACATAGACAGACTGAAAACGGTCGAGAAAAAATGGTGACGTAATGTTGTGAGACTGTGGCCTTAGTCTGTCCTCCGGAGGTAGATGAGTACTAGAGCTTTGTGTTATTTCTCCCATCTTACGCGGCGCAGGGTAATCATAGAACCTTCTTTATTCGTCCAGTCCTCGGTAACGAGCCTGCGATCCCTGCCCCATAGGCCACTAATTAAAACCAAACTAACCCTACAGAATGAGCTGACACTGTTGTTTTGCTTTTCGCTTAACTCGCTTTTCTTTGTTATCAGCTTTGGTGGTGCGCTGTTGCCCGGTGAAGGTGAAGCTATGGCCCAGTATGTCAAGGAGGGTAAAAGAATTCCTCGTCGTGGTGAAATTGGCCTCACCAGTGATGAAATCGCCACTTTCGAATCTTCTGGCTTCGTTATGAGCGGAAGCAGGTATGAATCCTTATTTTGTGTTAGGCATATAAGACCTTGATAATAATACGTTTCCGTTTAAAACCCACCATTTTCTCTGTAGTTGGCGTTGCGCCCTCTCTAAAACAATAACAAAGAGAGGTTTTCCAAAACGCTTGGAATTTTCTGGGTTTTTTTTTATTATTATTCTAGTGTGGACTGGTAAAAAGGAAAGTCCTTGAAAACACCGACATTATAACTACTCATACACTACATTTCAATTTTAGCAAGGGAACAGACGAGAACGAAGATTTTCTGGAAAAAAGAAGCCCAACATGTGGGGAAAAATGAACAAATAGTACATTAACTGATATTTTTTTTACATCCTTGCCCACTGCATGTTTCACATGCTGGAAAGTGACATCGTGGCAAAAAAAATGACAGACACTTTGGTAGTTTGGCCGCAAAGAGCACATGTCGGAGCCAACGAAAACGTACCATCAGATGTGCGTTGTCAATGGCTCATTGTGGACGGACTTTTTAAGCATCATGACGATCATGCCGTCAGAAAAGTCACATTTTGTTAGTAAATAATCGTGCCCTTCGATTATTTTGGCGATGTAAAATCGAGGCTAAAACTTGGTCACATTTTTTCTAAATCATGTAATGTTCAAAGACAAGTTTTTTCTAATATCATCATTATTGTCATTTTGTATGAATGTGTGTATGTATTTAATTTGTTTTCTATTCTCTCTTAAGACATCGTCGTATGGAAGCCGTCCGTCTGAGAAAAGAAAACCAGATTTATAGCGCTGATGAGAAGTAAGTTATTTTGTGTCTATTTACCCTGTTAACAACTTTCTTTTGTCACATACAGGTATATGCGACGTGTAGTTAAGCATCACGTTAGACGATGCATTTATGAGTTTACAGTTGTACTTGTAGTCCAGGTAAAACGGCAAAATAAGGACAATTACGTGAAAGCTACTACGGTGCTGTATAGTTATTTGATAATGCACAGGTGGTTCTAACTTTTGTATCTGTGTACGAAATACTTGAGTGTGACCATTCAAATGAAAGCTACTGATCATTACCTTCCTTTGTTGCTTTTTATTATGCTGTACATGGTGGCTCTCACTTTTCCAAATTTTGGAGTCTGTGGATGAAATCCTGTAGAGTGTCCATTCAAATAAAAGCTACTGAGTAGTACTTACCTGTGGTGCTGTGTTTTATGCTGCACACGGAAGTTCTAACTTTTCAAGTCTCTGGACGATATACTAAAGTGTGACCATTCTGAAAGCTACCTAGCAGACCTTCCTTACGTTCCAATTTTATCAAGCTTTGAATACAAAATGGTAAGGAATATTGATTTCTCATTTCCTTATCTTTCTCTCTTAGACGAGCATTGGCCATGTTTAATTACGAAGAAAGATCAAAGAGAGAGAACAAGATATTATCCGACTTCCGAGAGATGATTCACCAAAAAATCAACAACAAGAAATGAACTGTAAACCATAATTTTCCATTCGTTCACCTTCTGTTATCTCCCATCCTACATATTGAATTTGTTATTATTATTATTATTATTATTATTATTATTGTTATTATTAGTAGTAGTATTATTATTATTTTAATTTTATCATGAAAGCAAACTTAGCTAAAATTGTACAGCGAACTGGTTTACAGTCCATTTAGCAGCAACGACGGCGACGGCTACGAAAACGTCATTTAAAAAGTGAATTTGCGCAACTTCAAACTTCATCGTATTTAATCAAATTTTGACAAATTTTTCTGAAGTTGAATTCCAATAGACTGTATCAAAGTTCAGGAAAAGAAAAAGAACATCGTCTTGTGTTCACGGCCTCTACAAAATAAAAACGTGAAATTAGCCGCTTTCACGTTGTAGTCGTGCAGCCACGGCAAAAAAGTGTACAAAAAAGCTTGATACACGTGCAAAGTTGTTGTTTTGCCAATCTAAACCTATTGCTTTTTTCCGTTCTCGTTGCCTTCGCCTTAGTCGTTGCTTAAGGTCTCTATTCTAAGTCGGAGAAGGAGGACCCAGCCCAGCAGAGCAACGCCGAAAAAGATGCATTCCCATCATCGTAGGCATGACGACGTTAGTATGTTAACTCCAGCTATACTCTTTAATTTAGGCCATTTCCGAGTTGTCCTAAGCCTCTATTTCAAAGCGAGGCTAAGTGCGAAGCCATTGATGTGAAAAATATTTTTTATTCCACATGCAAATAACAGGAAAGGTGGTGCACTTAGCCTCTTTTTGGCTTATTATCTTTTGTTCGCGCCCATTTTTGTAGGATTTTTTACTTCTTGCCACGATTGACTACCCCTTAGGTCTACGAGATCGCCCTAAAGCGCGGTCACTAGTCACTAACGAAAGTCATAAGCTTAGAGTTTCTTCTAAGAATCCGGCATCATATATACGTAAAACAGATTGGTTTGATTTTTACGTTCGTTAAGCTAGCATCCTAGAAGAGAAACCTGTTTTTAGGTCTCTTCGTGAAGCGCTTTTTTTATCTCTGTGGTGTTTCTGAATGACCACGTGCTTTGAATATGAAATCCACCCCCGTATTCTCGTCACAAATCTAAATTTCGATTGGTTGAGAGGAGCACTGCTAAAACACTATATTTGCAGAGGAACAAAACCATGCATAGGTAACATGGGAAGGTTACAAAGCTAACGAGAAGACTCATGGGAAGGCCCCAAGGTACTTTGTTCACTTTGTAAATTCTAAGTTCTTGTTTTCTACCACGATGATACTGTTTCCAGTCGTTACACAAGGAACTTCTCCCTGATGCGTGTACTAGCCTATTGTGAACTTATTTTACGTCAATAGACAATGATAGCTGCAATGATTGTATGCACGGGTCGTAAAACGATGAAATGTAGTATATAATATTCGATTTTCATTTGGTACTTGTAAATGCATATGTTTTAAGTAATAAAGAACTCATAAAAAAACAAAGAGTTCTTGGGGTTGATCAAGTAGTCCGTTGAAGTTTTGGTGCCACTGTACTTGCTGTAGATTAATTACAATAAGAAAAGTATAGTTTGTTTATTCGGTGGATTGGTTAAGTTCCATCACTTGTAAATATATATCTGAAGTAACTCTTCGAGAACAAGAAAATATTATAATACACTTTGTATCACTAAGGTTGATAGTGCAATTGAATTTTATCTTTTGTATGTTCAGTTTTTGTTTTTGAGTTTGTCGGCATAGTGACGTAAGACACTGGGTTTGAAACAAACGAAATGACATTTTAATCGAGGATAACATTGCATTGAGCCACTACATTGAGGGTCTCAATGGGGTGGTCGCTTTTACGGTTATCGGCTAAAATTTTGGCTCTTTTACGGCTATCGGTTAATTTTTTCCAGTTACGGTTAACAACAAAGTTAAAAATTAATTTCTTTTGTTTCAAGGAGTAAAATATTAATAACCCGGTATTTTTTGTATCTTTAAAGCAAAATAAAGGTCTTAGGATCATCTCGGGATGAAATAAGCCATTCTTTTGCAAAATTTTAACATTTGAAGGACTGTACAGAACGACTGTCTGCCGTTGCCTTGTCCGTAGGCCTCATTCTTCCGCGCGGCTGATGCGTTTCGGGTCACGTGGTCCGAGCGAGTCTTTTTCTCAGATACACCATCGAAATGCCTTGACCGAGATTACGTGGGAAGACGCCGTAGCGTCAGAGAAAAACAGGGAATTGTTAACTGGAATTTTTGTTTATCGTCGACGTGTTTTACAAAGAGTGACATCTCTGCGTGTTGCTAGTATTTCGAGGGCACGACCTCCTGAAAATCTCAAATATTAATCCCCAGCAAGAAGCCAGATTTTCGCCGTAGAAAAAATTAGTTCACCGAGAGAGCGGCGGCGGAAATGGAGCCCAGGTCTAGCTGGTCCTAGGTCAACACCTAAAAGCTAGG